AAAACTCCCCACAGAGCTTCTGTGCTTCCAACGGTCGCGGCATCTTCGCCTCAGCAGCCCCCCTAGTCACAAGACAGAGGTTAGATGAACAATTATACTAACACGTAGTCACGTCAAATATAGACGTGATAAAAGTGAGTATAGAGCAGTGATGCTTCATTCAAGACATTTAAATCATGGAGAAACACTCACCCAGTCTAGCTCCCACCAGCCACAACCTGTAAACAGTCATACAGAAGCACAGCAGTGACTATTTTATTTACTTGTCAAAGGAAGTCAGTATTGCAGTGTTGGTGTTCCGACAGCATCATGTTTCATTCTGCTGGTTGGATTTTGTCACCTTTCCGTCCATATAAAAAGCTGAACTTACATTTGGAGTACCGCACTTGTCCATTAATGCAATGCACCAGAGAATAGTGATTCGTCCACCAGTCTGGGTGGGGCTTGCACAACATTTTCTCATTGGAACCCTCTTCTAAGAGTTTCACTCCAGCAGGATATAAGTGAGGGAGTGCATCTGTGATCACGGAGCAGAAGGCAGCTGCACAGAAGGAACAACAAACAAATAAATGCACATTTCTTCCCCCCCATACATCTTTGGCAGATTTTTTGAATAAAAGCCGTGAGCTCGTCGGTACCTATGCAGGTGGGCACTTCGGACCACATGCCGTCGCCGTAGCACACCACCGTATCTGGACCCACCCGTTTGTAATAACTTTGACACTCGTACGTCAAAGAATTTCGCTCACTTCGCATAAGGACACCGTTTCGAACTATGGGGGCCCTCCCACATCTGTCAACTGAAATGCAAAAATGGAAAAGTTAATGAAAATAAATGCATCATTGTGGCGTTTATCGACTTCACATTTCACTCCACGTTTTGTTCTCCTCGTCCTGAGACCAAATCCTTCGATAAGAAGAGCGAGAACCTTCACTGCAAGTGGTTAGCAAACGATGAACAAACATTATATCCCAGTCAAAGGCCCTCGTTAGTCGAGGTATAATCTGGCATGGACAATGCAAAATAAGAAATGAGTCTGCTTACGTACTTGGGGCAAAGGTTGGGGTAGAAGATCCTGTAAGATGTAAAGCAGACACACCAGTCAGGTATCACTTTGGCATCTTGATTTTATTGATTTCTCACAGACTAGCTTGACATTTCCTACATTATACTNAGTGTCGGATTATCGAGTCACAACTGTGGTTGAATCTATCAGAGGTTCTTCTTTGTCCTGGTTAGAAACAGCAGATTCCCCATAACCTGATGAACACATTTGTCGACTGTGATGATGTCTCAGAAGTGTTTTGGATATAATATATTATTACTTCATCCGCCTTTCCTGCTCATTTCAGGGAAATATGAGAGTCACACCCGAGTGCACACAGGAGAGAAACCGTTCCAGTGTGACATCTGTCTCCAGCGTTACTCCACCAAGTCCAACCTGACCGTGCACAAGAAGAAGCACGCCAGCGACGCTCCCTTCCAGAAGAAAGAGCACAAATGTCCCTTCTGCAACAAGCTCCACGCCAGCAAGAAGACCCTGGCCAAGCACGTCAGGAGGTGAGATGTTTGTTTTACTTTCTAGATCAAGTCTGGTTGTCGTGTGAGGCTGCACTGGGAATTACAGCTGATCTGAATCCAGTGTATTTCTGAGCTTTAACTTCAAATGTTCCGTTTTCTTCTCTCAGTTAGTTCTAGTATTTTGCGAGCTGACAATCCTTGTTCCACACATCTAGTTGTCAAGTCATTTCAGCTGTCTTTATAAATTACTGGAAGAATGAAGGAAATAAAAAGTCCAATAGTTACTTTCACAAACATAAAGTTCAGCCTCATGGTGGCGCCAGAGGAAACATGGTTGGACTGTGGATGCTGCAAGCTGCTGATGTGACTACAATTCTCTCATTTCATACCTTAAAGCGGCAGGATTCTCGCAGATGAAAACAGTATCAGCACACACACACGGACTGTATTTGTGCAGCACTGATTCTCTGCTGGATCTCATCTCATGTCTCCGCTCTGCTGCCAGGTTTCATCCAGACCACATCCAGGAGTTTCTCACCAAGAGGAAGAGGAAGAGTGAGGGCTGGAAGTGTGCTGTAAGGACCAGTTTGTAGTCGCACATAATGTGTCAAATCGTTTTTCTGACATCATTTAGATCTTAACTGTCTGAAACCTTTGGACTTTCCTGAATCAGATTTGTTTGAAGACCTTCACCCGCAGACCTCATCTGCAGGAGCACATGATTCTTCACACCCAAGACCGGCCTTTCAAATGCTCCTTCTGCGACGAATACTTCAAATCTAGGTTTGCGAGGCTGAAGCACCAAGAGAAGTACCACTTAGGTGAGAAATGTGTTGTAAAAATATACGCTTCATGGCTGCTGTAAAATTAAATAGATAAAATATCATTTTTCCAACCTGTCGTAAAGACCTTTAAATGAGTTCACTGTCATTATAGCAGCTGCTAATGTGTTAGCATTAGTTGTTACTGAGGCTATCGATGCACTGGGAGAGAGAATTGATCCTTTCTTGTCCTCAGGCCCGTTTCCCTGTGAGATCTGTGGCCGTCAGTTTAATGACACAGGCAACAGAAAGAGACACATCGAGTGCACACATGGAGGCAAAAGGAAGTGGACCTGCTTCGTTTGTGGGAAATCGGTGAGGGAAAGGTACGTAGTAGGTTCTGTACATGTTCTACCTGGAAGTTAAAATACTTTTATGATGTATTATTAAAGCCTAATCCCTTATTTTGACAGTCGGACCTGCAAAAAATGTTAAATTGTGTGTTCTCCCTAAAGGACAACATTGATGGAGCACTTGAGGATTCACAGCGGAGAGAAACCTCATCTCTGTAGTATTTGTGGCCAAAGTTTCCGTCATGGCAGCTCCTACAGGTGGGTTCAGTGAGAGTTAGAGAGAGCGTCAAGTGTTTGTGAATATTTCACCGACAGATTTGCTTCTAATGAATCAACTGTTCCTTGGACAGGCTCCACCTCAGAGTCCACCACGACGACAAGCGTTACGAGTGTGACGAATGCGGAAAAACCTTCATACGCCACGATCACTTGACCAAACATCAGAAAATACACTCTGGTAAGCGTGAGAGAGACAGCAGAGGGATTCTTCTACGGATTCAGACAGTGGAAAAGACTGTTTTTATTTTAGGTTTGTTCGTGTTCATCACAGGTGAAAAAGCACACCAGTGTGAAGAATGTGGAAAGTGCTTCAGGCGGCACGACCATCTGACAGTCCACTACAAAAGTGTTCATTTGGGAGAAAAAGTCTGGCAGAAGTATGTGATTCAAATCTTATTCCCCTTTTTTTTGGTACTGATAAACATATTTCCTCTGCTGCTTTGTCCAGATTAGTATGGAAGTTTGACAAAGGTTCCTGGTTTCTGTCTCCATTAAAGCAGACATTTTTTCTCTCTCTCCAGGTATAAAACAGCTGTACACCAGTGTGAGGTTTGCAAGAAAGAGTTTAAAGGAAAGTCCAGTCTAGAAATGCACTTTAGGACACATTCAGGTAAGGAAGCAAAGAAGTCAATGAATATATTTGATTGAAAATAAGAATGAGAACAGAAAAGTAGCAGATACATATATATATATATATATATAGGAGCTGTGTCTCAATTCAGGGGCTGCATTCTTTGAAGGGTGCACTCTACGATCCATTCAGAAGAAATAAAGGAGCGGTGCTGTTTGTGTTTTGCAATATAGAGATGCTCCGTCTGGAAAGATAACATGGAAATAAAATATTTTCTGACTTAACGTTCAAAGTGTTTCGATGCTTACTGTAGGAAAACATATTTACATGTAGGATTATTTTTTGGATTCGATGTTGATGCTCACAAAACAATGCTGTGTCATTTTCTGTGAGTTCTGGCTTCTCAAGCGTAAACTTTCTCAAACCAAACAGCACCGCTTGACTTTTGGGTTTTAGAAAGGTGAAGACCCAGCCCTCAGACTCTCTAGATACTCAGTGCTGCTGTTTCTGGTTCTTCTTACATATTTATTCTGGCATGTGGAGACGTCCAAAACTTAAGCTATCATAAGAAGCAAAAGAAATGACTGAACGTTTTGTGTCACAGGAGAGAAACCTCACCGATGTCCCGAGTGCCATCAGACGTTTCGGATCAAGAAGACCTTAACGAAACACATGGTGATCCACTCAGACGCTCGTCCTTTTAACTGCCCCCACTGCAGCGCCACCTTCAAAAGAAAAGACAAGCTCAAGTACCACGTGGACCACGTGCACAGCGCCCGCTTCACTGAGCAGCCGCTCAGCACGCTCAGCGAGGACAAAATAGTCTCCATTCCCTTTGAGGAAACTTCCAAAGTGTACCACGCCGAGCCTAAACCCGCCCTCCAGAACCCCCCCACCTCCACGGACGCCTGCGTGCCCGTCTCTTTAGTTCCCGTTCAGATGGCGGGAGGAGCGCAGGATGACTTGAACGCTCACAGAGCCTCGTCTCTGTCCTCCCAGACTCACGGCCACGTCAGCATGCAGGCCCAAGGACAGCAGCAGAACCCTGGCTACCAGGCCGCTACGGACCTGGCCTTCCTGGAGAAGTACACCCTCACCCCTCAGCCCGCCAACATCGTCCACCCCGTGAGGCCCGATCAGATGCTGGACCCTCGGGAGCAGTCCTACCTGGGCACGCTGCTGGGCCTGGACTCAGCTTCCTCTGTGCAGAACATCTCCAACTCTGATCACACCCACTGATGCTCTGCAGCCACAAACTGGGACTTTAAGGCACAGAGATGTAAGCTGGATGGTAGAGTTCTTTATCTCTGATCTCCGTGTAAAATCATTGGACTCAAGACAGAAAACATGAGATGCTGCTGCTAAATAGCCAGACTGGGCCGATGTGATTGAAACCACAGTCTGCACGCTTAAACCAAACCACACTGACCAATGGGTGAGCACGGACAAGCCCTGAACGTTTCAGTCCACTTGAAATAAACACAATTGAATTAAGTTAGATTTTATTGAATAAATCCAAATTACATATTAGCTACATCTCGCTTATATCTGCACTTGATCAAATTAGCACTTGATAAGATGTTTTTGATATTCTCACAGTAAACTCGTTTCTCACTGATGTGAATGTGTTTGTGTGGCATACTGAGGAGGAAGAACACTGTGGATTTGACTTAAAAAGAAAGGTTATATAAGATGATGAACCACAACAAAACCCCCATCATGCCTGCCTCTTTTTGATATTCCTTCAGTGTTTTTTCTTCAGGTCCCTGCTGCACACGTCGATGTAAGTCTTTTGGTGTCACTTACTGTTTCCCATTTTGTATTGTTTTATACGAGCACTGATGCAATTTTAATTATTTAATACTAAATAAAAGCAATTGACGGTTTTGAACAAATTGATAAATCAGGTAATTTGTTGAGTAAAACGTCATTTAGTGGGTCGAACTTCTGATTAATTAACTGTTTGTCAAATAAAACGAATCACTGACGGCTGGAAGAAGCTTCAACTGTGGCCTTAACTTCTACTCTAATCTGTGTGCGGCCGATACAAGCTGTCGCACATAAGCTTCGGGTTCGACATGTAGGATTTCTTTTTGCCTGTGCAGCATTCACATGAGCACAACAACTCATTTTTTTTTAAAGCTATGTATGCGTGCAAGAACCTGACTTCAGAGAAAACTGTTAAATCATCACATTTTGTTATTGAGAAAACACGTCTGTCCCGAGGATTCTTCACATTCTGACTCCGTGGTGTGTCGTGGTCAATAAAACTTCAACTGAAAGCACTGATGTTTGTGGGTTTGTGGTCCTGTGACAGACGGGCGGCTCCTGGATTTCTAACGTCTGCGCAAACCTCCGTTCACCTGTGGCCCCCGAACAGGACAACAGGGTTTAGATAATAGATGGATTTAAACACAAAAACTGGTCAGACAATTCAGAGAGCATGAATATTCCATCTAAAGACTTTATTCAGTTTAGTCGACATTCATCAGCCTCTTTATTTTTT